CCCCTAACACCACAGCTCCCTGTTGCCTTTACACCACTTAGTAGAGCTAAAATCATTCTACTATTCACTTCACTTCCCCGTCTCCCCCAACTGAGTATCTTCCCTGTATCACTAGTGTCTAAAAGACACTAAACACGAGGACAGATGAATGAGTGAGCAGATGAGAGGATCGATTGGGGAGGGGAGGGGAGGATGAGTGAGGGGAAGGGAAGATGGGGGGTGTTTAGGTGAGAGGATGGTGGGCAGACAGATGGAGTGAGTGGACACATCAGTAGGTGGAGGGGAGAAGGGAGAGATGGGCCAAAAGATGGGTGGATGGGCAAATGGATGGAAGGGTGAGTGGGTGAACAGGACAAAAGGAGAGCTAGGTAGATGGAGGGAGGATTGGTGGGTGGAAGGAAAGGTTAGTGATAGACAAATGGAGAATGGATGGGATGGTTTGTGAAAGGGCAGGTAGGCTGGTGAATGGTTGCTGAGCACCTGTGTAGGGTATGTGTCAGTGGGATCTGCAGAATAAAAGAGGTGTTGTCTGTTGCCATGAGAGAGATGGAGGGAATAGGATGAGTTTGGAGGAGTTCAGCAAACAGGAGGCGGCTTCTTAGGCAGAGGTAGAACTGGAACAGTGCTGCAGCGCAGCTGTGCCGAGACAACCCCGGGCTCGGGGCACAGCAGCGAGCAGGGAGGAGGAGTGGGGAGCGTGGAGCGCCCGGAGCTGGGCTGCAGCGTACTTCACTCATCTCCTCGTCCTTGCAGGGCCTCTGCTCGAGCCCTTCCATCTCCAGGAGGGAAAGGTGGGCCTCATTGAGAACAAGTTCTGCAACATGTTATATGAACCAAGAGTTGGCCAAGGCAGGAACTACTCTGTGCACGAGGAGATGCTGTGTGCTGGGGACTTCTCGACAGGAAAGGCCATCTGCCGCGTGAGTGAGGCCATTTCTGTTCCTCCCTTGCGTGTTCTCAGGGCCTCAGCTTCCTGGGGGGGGCAGGGGGTGTTGCCTCTGCTCTCCTTGTGGAGACCCCCGGGACATCCTGCTTCCTCCCTCTCCGTGTCTTCCCGGGGCTCCAGCCCTTGGCAGCGTCCCCCTGGCTGCCCCTTCCTAAGCCTGTTGTCCCTGAGAGCCTTACTGGCAGGACCTCAGACAGTGTCTGTTTTTGAGGCATATTTTACAGTTTTGATTGAGGTGTAACATACTTACAAAAAAGTATATTCATAGTGTTTTCATAGGTGTGGGGCGGACAAATCTTCACATAGTGACGCAACATGTGACCAACACCAGGGCCCCACTCGTGTCCC